GGGTGGGGGGAGGTCAGAGACAGTAGCAGAGGCTGTGGATTTACCTATGGAAAAGGCTCTTGATCTTATCCCACAAGCTACCGACCGAGCTACTAACTTTATCCGAGAAACTGGGGCTGGGGCAGGCACAACCAACAAAACAGAAACAGTGAGAGTCAGTGCATGGAATTCCAGACACAGAGATCCCCACCCCCCTCACCAGGCCCTGTGCTCCCAGGAGCATAACAGATGCAGCAGGAACTGCTCCCCCTCCCAGATGAGCCTCCTAGCAAAGTCACAGCAAGGGGCCAGGTCCCAGCCCCTGTTCCCTTCAGCCCCCCCCAGTGACCAGCCATGGGAACCAGCCCCCAACCAGAGTCTCTAGAAAGCAAAAATCGAGGGGTTTGGCAATTCACCAACAGCTTGAACATGGACTGTGCCTCAGCACAGCATCCCCTGCTGGGAGAGGCCAGGGCTGGAGTACCCAGGAGCTCCCTCTGCAGCCAGCTCCTGTCCTGCCCCCTTCCCACCTCCTGTTGGGAGAGGCTGGGACTGAGTGCACTAAGCTGAGTGGGAACCGGTCACCCCTAGGGGATCAGAACCCTGGTGGCTCTCAGGGATGCAGTCCTGCCTGCAGGGAGGCCCTCACAGCTGCAAGAGCTTCAGGCTGGACTGGCCCAGAGTTCCCCTCCCCTCGGTACTCACGAGTCCTTCCGGTGCCGCAGGTGTTCGAAGTGCAACAGCCCACGGGAGTTGACGCTCAGCACCAGCTCCCGCCCCTGCAGCAGGTCCATGCGGAACGGCTTCCCTGTGAGGATCAGCTTGTGTCCGGAGTCACCCAGCGCGAGCTCCACGCTGTTGTCGTCCCGGCCTGTCACAGCCAGCCTGGGGGGCAGCACAGAGGGGATGGGGGGCAGAGGTATGGAAGGGGGCACAGTTCCAGTGCCAGCCAGCTTGGGGGAGCAGTGATATGGAAGGGAAGAGGAGATAAATGTCCAGCCCCAGCCAGCCTGGGGGAAAGCAGACATGGAAGAGGGACACAACTAGCCTGCAAGGCCAGAGCCCTGGACAATCCCCTGCTTACCCACGGAGCACAGCTAGAAGAGCAGGCCCAACACTCCCTGCTGTTAGCCCCACAGCTCCCCACAAGCACAGCAAAGGGGACCACTTCCCCACAAGGCCTCTTACCAGGTGGCAGGTGGGTCGCGCACCAGCACATCAGGCACCTCGTAGCGCGGGTGCAACGGGCTCAGCTCATTGATCTTGATGCGCATCATGTTCCCCTGCAGCCCATACAGTTCCAGCAGGAGTGGGACCTGGGAAGAGTCACTCTTAGTCTCCTACCAATCTCAGGGCCCATCCTCTCCCAGCATCCTCCAGCAGGGGACACACCAGCCTCGACGGCCAGCACATCATCCTGTTGTGCAGAGTGGGGAAGGGCACCACTGGGAACAGATCCCAGCCCTCCTGCTCCAACCCACCAGGCTCCACTCCTTTCCCAGCACTAAGGAGAGAACTTAGGAATCCTGGCTTGCAGCCCTCCCTTACCCCACCTCACTAGAACCCTCTTCTCTCCCAGCACTGGAGCCAGAACCCTGGGTCAATAGTTAGTCCTAAATCTGAAGGTGCCATGACACCAGTAAAACCCTGACCAGGAATTATTACATTACTTATATTCTGAACATCTAGTGCTGCGACCCATGGCTAAACTGGGCCTGGCTGGGGATGGGCAGGTTATCCAAAGTAGTGACGGGTCCAAGGGTATGTCTACACTACCCCGCTAGTTCGAACTAGCGGGGTAATGTATGCATACCGAACTTGCTAATGAAGCCCAGGATTTGAATTTCCCGGGCTTCATTAGCATAAAGCCGGTGCCGCCATTTTTAAAAGCCGGCTAGTGCGAACCCCGTGCCGCGC